AGAGACTCAGATAACGGAGACTCCCTGTGTTTCCTGGTAGAGTTGACATTTCTGTATCAGGTTTCTGCCTGAATTCCCAGCTCATTTGAAAAAAGGATACTGTACTGTACCAGGATACTGTACTAGTGTCAGCACTGCAACCTTTCCTGTGTACCTTGTCATATTTTGCTATGAACACCAGCCAGAAGCTCTGTTCTCTTTTCTCTCCCAACCATTACACTTGCTACAATGCCTATAATAATATCCACTAGGCAGGAGGACCTAGCAGAGGTTTGGAAAGTATCTAAAACAGCCTTTCTGGACCAGGGATCCATGTAACCCTAGGGTTTCCTTCAGAGGTGGCTAGGGGATCCTTGAGAAATAACCAATTTGTGCCTCTCAGATAAATAATAACTAACACCAATGATCTTGTTACCTATATGTAAGTTTGGCATTCTTCCCGATGACCACAAATGTAAGGAGCATTCTTTCCAGTAACCATCACACTAATGTACAATAAGCTGTAGATATAGTACTTATTAGCAGGGGTTGCTCTGTGCTAAAAATTTTGAAAAGTCTGATCTTAATCATTAAAGGGAGTGGGGAAGAGGTTGTTGCTAAAACATAATAGTTGCCACAGGTCCCACATTTGCACATTATGTGCCTTGCGATCCCATGCGGCCGATCGCATTTCGTGGATACGGGGCCATTCACTTCATTGGACAGCCCCCTCCTGCCCCACAAAAAAGTGAGCCAGCCGCAATGCGAGGCAGTGCGTTCTGGCCAGTATCGGGCCGGAACGCACTGCATCTGGTGAGAACGAGGCCTTTTACTTATCATAGCTTCACTAACTAGTCAGTGACCCAGAACATATACACTAAATCCCCCACCTATATGTTTGCTATCCTGCATCAGTAAGGTGTCAGGAGGACACCAAACATACAGGTGGGGGATTTAGTGTACTAAAGCAAGAATGAGGATGACCATCCTGGTGCATACACCATGTAAGAAATAAAAATGATAGCGTCAATAATTTAAGCATGAGAGGTTTCTTTTAACCCAGAAAAAAAGCTCCCAGGGAAAAAGCATTTTGTCATATAAAGCCTAGTCACTAGACTTCTAATAGCAACTCACTGCTAGCACTAAAAGCGGTGTCCATCTAGTGGCAGCGTGTTTTATTTACAAATACTATCAGATATGTTTTTATAGCGTTTACTGCAAACTATAGTAAAAAGTAGTAGTAGAGTACCACGCTGCTCAGTAACTACACGATGTATCAGAAGGGGATTACGTGCTACATGCACTTGATCCCTTGGGGATCTATCCAGGTTTTTCAAATGTGATGATACTTCTTCAATCATTAATTCTCAAAGATCACGGCAAGGACTTTGGCCTGCTAACACCAGATGTATTGGGCTGTGCTAGGAAGCCTTGCCCAGCCCAGTCCTAAAGCAAAGACTAGGCAATTTATTTTGTTCACTATTAAGTCAGTTTACACCACCACGTTGTGATACTGTGCAGTAAAAACAAAGTATTACATGCACTACTTTATGACATTTCAATAAAGTTCAGACAACTGTGTGCAATAGAAGGCTGGTACACTGCCAAGATTTTGGTGCAATAAAAAGTAGTAGGAACAAAACTAACGGGGTTATTCATAAAGTTGCCGAAGGCAGCAGAGTGAATAACCCAGGTGAAGTGAACAGAGCCGAAGGACGTTCGGCTATTCACTTCAGCCCTGTACGCTGATTTCAGCCATACATCAGCTGCCTCCAGTCAGCCAAACATGCTCTGCATGTTCGGCTGAGCCGAAGTGCAGAAGGAGTACGAGTCAGCTGATCCAACATCTGGATCGGCTGAGCCGAAGCTCCAGCAGCTCACTCGCTGCGGTTCACCCCTATTCTCATAGGGGCCGAACGGCAGTGAGTGAATAGCCGAATGCCGCCGATGCTGTGCTGCTCGCTACCTTCGAGGTAGCGAGCACAATAGAAAAAGATTTAAACAAATGAGCCGGCCGGCCAGGAGCTTCCTGGATCTGAGCGGGCGTTTTTAAACGTCCCGTCAGCCACGCCCACTCGCGCGAGCAGGAAAGTGCCAAAATGTAAAAACTGGCAGCGCTGCCTGTTTACATACAAGCGATCTGCCGGCTATAGAGCCGGCGGATCGCTTGTATAATGTGCCGGTATGTGCGGACCCCCCCTCCCGCAGGTCCCGGGCTCCGCTGTGCCAGGTGCGAGCCTGGGACCAGCATGGTGGCTCTGTGACAGGGGATCAGAGTGAGATCGGTACACGATTTCCCTCTGGTCCCTTCTCCGGTGTCAAAATGCGGAAGTGATGTATATTACATCACTTCTGCATTCTTGTGTCACTCTCCAGCTTCAGAAGCTGATGAAACAGATCCCTGCTTCATCAGCTTCTTTGGGGTCTTGGAGACCCCTGATGTCTCCATAAATAGGACCTGTCACATCCTCTTTGCTATCACATAAGGGGGTTTCTTAGCCCCCTATGTTATAACAATAAAGTTAAGTGGAAAAAAAATAGAAAACAAATTAAAGTTGCACAAAAAACAAATTAAAGTCACACATGAAAAATAATTTTAAAAAAACCACAAACATTTTTTAAAAGTCCTCACCCATACATACATACATGCATACAAACATGCATCCAGTGCGCATACGTGAGAAAACAGCGATTGACCCCGTCTTTTATATGTTACTAAAACATTGGGTAATAATATTTGTATTATAACATAATGTTAAAAAAAACACCTTTTTTTTTCAAAATTTTCAATAGTTTTTCTTTAATATAGTAAAAAATAAAAACCCGTAGTGGTTATTAAATACCATCAAAAGAAAGCTCTATCCGTCCCCAAAAAATTGTATAAAATTAATTTCAGTACAGCGTTGCATGACGGAATAAATCTGAAAGTACTGCAGCGCTGAATACTGAAAAATGGCCAGGAAGCACCTTGTCTTCAAGTGGTTAAAGAAAATTTTTTAAAAGACAGCGTGGGGTACCCCTACCAAATCATTCCAGACCCTTTAGGTCTGGTAGGAAATTTAGGGGGTACCCCATTTAAAAAAATTGTAGGGTTCCCCCCAAAAGTCATACCAGGCCCTTTAGGTCTGGTTGGAATTTTAGAAGGGACCACACCCCCAAAAATAGGGAAAAAAAATACGTGGGGTCCCACCTAAAATCCCCAACCAGACCCTTGATCCGAGCACAGGCCTGGCAGGGCAGGAAACGGGGGGTGCGAGCGAGTGCCCCCCACTGCTATACCAGGCCACATGCCCTCAGCACTGAAAGGGGGCTTTTGGAAAAGCACCTTGCCCCTGTGCCGATGGGGACAAGGGCCTCTTTCCCACAAGCCCTGGGGCATAGGTTGTGGGGGTGCGGGCAGGGGGGGGTTATTCACATCAGAGTACCCCCCAGATGTGCCCCCCCCTTGTGAATAAGTAAGGGGTACTTATACCCATTCACTAAAGGGTTAAATTAAAACTTTTAAAAAGATGCCAGACTTTAGAAAAAATCCTATAATTGAAAAAAACCCAAAAGACAAGTTTTTGACAAGTCTTTTATTAACAAAAATAGATCCAACATAATCCTTGGGTCAATCATGACGTCTATCGTTGTCCACGACAACAACGACTCGACTAAATAATTTAAAGGAAAAAAAAAACCAACGCCCGACGACCCGTCCGCATGTGTCGAACTCCCGCCGCAGAATGGCATTCTGACAGATGTTGGCAAAATATAAACAATTGGGCGGAGCAATTGGGTGACATCCCTGCAAGCTCCACCCAACTGTTTACATTTGTTCGGCACCTGACAGGTCCCAAACAAATAAAAAAAACATGGGCGGAGCCGCTCCGCCCAGCTGTTTACATGTAATGGCAGCCCAGTGTCCTCGAGGACGCTGGGCTGTCATTGAAAGACAACAGGGGGAGCCAGCCGTGACATTACAGCTGGCTCCGCCCAGCTGTTGTCTTTTGCTGGGAGAACGGCCTTTCTCCCTGCTTCTGGTGTCACTACGGCTCAGCCGAGCCGAAGCATATGCATTCGTCTCGGCTGCTGTAGGGGCCATTGTGAACAGCAGCCCGCCCAGGCGGCCAAAGCGAGCTGAAGGATCAGGCGAAGCTACGGCTGGATCCTTTAGCTCTTTTGTGAATAACCCCCTAAGATTTCTGTGTCTCTGTTGTGAACAGTGAATACAAATTTCTGCACAAACTAACAAAGTAAACAGAGTGATGCGCCACTGTCTGCTTTTCAGAGTTTGGTAGGGCAGCAGCTGCCTGGCATTCAGGAGATGACACTGACACCCCCTAAAATGTTTTATTCTCTTATCCCAATGGGAATTTTCTATTGCAATCGTGCAGCCGCGTTCCCAGGCAGTTGCGGCACAGTACCATCAATTGCAATGGTTGCGTTTAGCAAGCAGCACCACCTGCCAAAAGCGGCATGCTGTATAAAATGTGCAGCGGCATATGTACAGGCATGAGCGGCTGCTACATTACGTTTTAGGTGGGTGGTCAGGGGGAGGCTAAAATGGGCCTGTTTTTTCCGCTTCTTGGCAGCCCATGTGAATGAGGCCTTTCTGTCATCGCACCCCTGCGCCTGTACGTTCAGCGTGGATTGCTCGTGTGAATAGACCTAAATGTGTTCCTCTGACGCATTCGTGGCTTTGCTTTCCTATGCATATGCTAAAATACCAAACTGTGAACAGACTTTGGGGGATTTATCAAACCTGGAGCAGACAGAATCTGGAGCAGTTGCCCATGGCAACCAATCAGCTTTCATGTTCAAATCTGAACTAAAGATAGAAGCTTATTCTCTGGCTCCAGATTTGATCATCTTCCTGCAGTGTGTTTCCTTCCTGAGCTGGGAGGACATGTCTGTTTTTTCACTCTATGTAACTATCAGGAAGCTGCCATTTCTACACCTGTGTCCCCCGGTGTGTGTCAGCGGAGCTCGGCCCCTCTCATGACTGCCAGGAGCCGCTGATCACCCTCCGCCGTCAGCTGATCGCAGTGTACCGGCAGGAGGAGGCGGTGCTCGGTCAGTCTCTTCCGGGTCAGCGGGCAGAATGGGCTCTCGGTGATCGGAGTGTGTGGCGATCTCCTCCCCTCCGGCTCGGTGGGGTGTATATGGCGTCCTTGTCTCAGCTGGCAGTCTGGCTCTCCCAGTCGGCCGCTGCTCGCTCCTATGTGGTCTTCTCCAAAGGCCTGAGCCGCACTCTGCTCATCTTCTTCAACCTGGCCTGGAGGCTGAGGATCAAATTCCCCTATCTGTATGTCATCGCCTCCATGATGCTGAACGTCAGGCTGCAGGTGAGACGAGCCCCATTCCCGTCACCGTCCATGACATGCCGACCCTCCGCCACCATCACCCTCCCTGACATACTGACCTTCCGCCACCCTCCCTGACATACTGACCTTCCGCCACCCTCCCTGACATACTGACCCTCCGCCACCGTCACCCTTCGCCCTCCCTGACATACCGACCCTCCGCCGCCCTCCCTGACATACCGACCCTCCGCCGCCCTCCCTGACATACCGACCCTCCGCCGCCCTCCCTGACATACCGACCCTCCGCCGCCCTCCCTGACAAATACCGACCCTCCCTGACATACTGATCCTCTGCCACCGTCACCCACCATGACATACTGACCCTCCGACACCGTCACCCTCCCTGACATGCTGACCCTCCGACACCGTCACCCTCCCTGACATACTGATCCTCCGCCACCGTCACCATCCCTGACATGCTGATCCTCCGCCACCGTCACCCTCCCTGACATGCTGACCCGCCCCCCCCGCTCCCCCTTCCCTCCCTCTGCCACCATCACCCTATCCCGATGCAGCAACCCTTCGCCACCGTCTCCCCCCCAACATACTGACCCTCCGCCACCATCTCCGCCCAACCCCTCCCGACATGGTGTCTTCAAGTAGCTGATAATAAACACATTAGGGCCCATTCATCCCAGCAAGCCAGGCTAAACGCACGGCTGGTGTGCACCGAGAGGTGCGCTGATTTCAACACATCACACTGTTTACTTGTTTTTTAAACTTTATTGGAATGTCACAAGGGACGGTTCAATATGTCCTTTTGGCACAACGCAGCATAACACTCTGCGCTGAAAACAATTGGTGCGTATGCTGTTGCTGTGGTAAGGCAGAGTGCGTTGGGGCTGGAAAAAAGCAGTCAGCGCAGCTCCAATGCATCTGGTGTAAACGGGCCCTTAAAGTGACTGTCATTGATCAGAATAAAATTCAATGACTTTGTATTTAACCAGATTTAAAGATTTGGGTCCTGGTGATTTGGCCGAGCTGTGTGTGGCCCCTGGCTTGACAAACGTTGGTTAAATAATTCACTTTTGCCAAGCTACGGGCCACACACAGCTCGGCCAAGTCAGCAAGACTCAAATCTTTAAGATAGCGTCGATAGCTGGCAGGACAAGTAATTTAATATTATTTTGCGGGGAGGATGTTTTTTCTTGGAGGTGACACTTTAAAGCCATCTCCAAAACACTGTTCACCCCCCCCCTTCCCGAAAAAAATGGAAACGCCCATCTTACCTAACGCTGCAGTCACATAATCCTCCTGTGCATGCAAGTCTTCTCTTTTGTTTGCATCTGCTGTGCCCTTTCTTCAGGTGTCCACATCACTGCCTGGTTGACGTGGGAACTTCCTATTGTCTGTCCAGCTGCAGGGGCCTTTCAGGCTCCAGAAGAGGCGTGACATCAGCACAAGGAGACATTAGGGGGCCAGCAGTGTCAACGCTGGATTAGTGGTTCCCTGCTCCCAGGAACGGTGGAGGCAGCAAGGGACCTGGCAAGCAAAAACTTCAAGAGAAGACTAAGCACCACATACAGGTGAAACTCGAATAATTAGAATATCGTGCAAAAGTAATTGCAGTAAGTGCTGCAAAAGGGGCCCAAACCAAGTACTGAGTACATATGCATGCTTGTACTTTTCAGAGGTCCGATATTGTTCTATGTACAATCCTTGTTTTATTGATTGCATGGAATAATCTACTTTTTTGAGGTTGTGGATTTGGGGTTCTTGGGGTTTTCATGAGCTGTAAGCCATAATTATCACAATTATGACAAATCACGGCTTGAATTATCTTGCTTTGCATGTAATGAGTCTCTCTCATATATTAGTTTCACCTTTTAAGTTGCATTAGTGAAATAAATGAACTTTGCACGATATTCTAATTATTCGAGTTTCACCTGTAGATGCTGATCAGTGTCTGAGATTTACCAAACCATTCCTGCAGGAGGGGAAATGCATGTGCCTGCAGGATAAAACTGCCGTTGCTAGCACTTTGACAACCCTGCAGTGTAGCTCACAATGCATTCGGCTGGTGTCACCCTGTATTGTATTATGACTTTTCCATAAGTTAGAACTGGCTTACTGGCGTATCTTGCAGTGCCAAATAAAAGGCACCAGTTAGTACCCGATGGTCCCTGTTCTTCTCTCCAGTGGTTTGAGTTGCGAGGGGCAGGTTTTTAATACAACTGAAGTGCAGTATATGAGTATCTATATCTGTGGTGCGACTGTCCCTACATGACTGACTTGTAAGGGATGCATTTTGTAACCCTTTACGTAAGTTTGGATTTTCACAAGCTTGGGTTGGTCCATTCATTCTGTATGTCCCGCGTACGGCGAAACCTAAACGTCTCCTCACCACACACGTGCCCCTTCTCTGTTTGGCTGTGTCCATGCTTTTGCAGAAGATGAAATCTGTAAGGATTGTTCATTTGGTATCGGTAAGTCACACTTCCTATTCTTTGGGCAATTGTGTCAGGTATTACTATCCACACACTCCTCGTACAAGGCTCCTTCTAGCTTGGAGGTTAGATGTGTTGTGACATTCCATACATTACCTAACGCTGCAGTCACATAATCCTCCTGTGCATGCAAGTCTTCTCTTTTGTTTGCATCTGCTGTGCCCTTTCTTCAGGTGTCCACATCACTGCCTGGTTGACGTGGGAACTTCCTATTGTCTGTCCAGCTGCAGGGGCCTTTCAGGCTCCAGAAGAGGCGTGACATCAGCACAAGGAGACATTAGGGGGCCAGCAGTGTCAACGCTGGATTAGTGGTTCCCTGCTCCCAGGAACGGTGGAGGCAGCAAGGGACCTGGCAAGCAAAAACTTCAAGAGAAGACTAAGCACCACATACAGGTGAAACTCGAATAATTAGAATATCGTGCAAAAGTAATTGCAGTAAGTGCTGCAAAAGGGGCCCAAACCAAGTACTGAGTACATATGCATGCTTGTACTTTTCAGAGGTCCGATATTGTTCTATGTACAATCCTTGTTTTATTGATTGCATGGAATAATCTACTTTTTTGAGGTTGTGGATTTGGGGTTCTTGGGGTTTTCATGAGCTGTAAGCCATAATTATCACAATTATGACAAATCACGGCTTGAATTATCTTGCTTTGCATGTAATGAGTCTCTCTCATATATTAGTTTCACCTTTTAAGTTGCATTAGTGAAATAAATGAACTTTGCACGATATTCTAATTATTCGAGTTTCACCTGTAGATGCTGATCAGTGTCTGAGATTTACCAAACCATTCCTGCAGGAGGGGAAATGCATGTGCCTGCAGGATAAAACTGCCGTTGCTAGCACTTTGACAACCCTGCAGTGTAGCTCACAATGCATTCGGCTGGTGTCACCCTGTATTGTATTATGACTTTTCCATAAGTTAGAACTGGCTTACTGGCGTATCTTGCAGTGCCAAATAAAAGGCACCAGTTAGTACCCGATGGTCCCTGTTCTTCTCTCCAGTGGTTTGAGTTGCGAGGGGCAGGTTTTTAATACAACTGAAGTGCAGTATATGAGTATCTATATCTGTGGTGCGACTGTCCCTACATGACTGACTTGTAAGGGATGCATTTTGTAACCCTTTACGTAAGTTTGGATTTTCACAAGCTTGGGTTGGTCCATTCATTCTGTATGTCCCGCGTACGGCGAAACCTAAACGTCTCCTCACCACACACGTGCCCCTTCTCTGTTTGGCTGTGTCCATGCTTTTGCAGAAGATGAAATCTGTAAGGATTGTTCATTTGGTATCGGTAAGTCACACTTCCTATTCTTTGGGCAATTGTGTCAGGTATTACTATCCACACACTCCTCGTACAAGGCTCCTTCTAGCTTGGAGGTTAGATGTGTTGTGACATTCCATACATGTCATTCTTGTTGCACGCCTTGCTTCCCTTGGCACATGAAAGATGTTGCATATTATAATGCAAGGCCCTGCCCTTTCCTGCCCAGCAAGAAATATTTTCAAGCACATTGCCCTGGTAAGCACATTCACCAAAACAGCCTACATGGGGGCAAATGCTGGAGCTGTCATTAGACAAAATGTGAGGAATTATACTTTTGTATACCCACCTCCAACTATCAATTATGCCCAAACACAAACCTCAAATGCAGCGTGGACCCGCCTCACCCTCAGCTCATTGCTGTGCCAGTTGGGCTATCCCATTGATCTATATAAAGCCATAGACCTTAGAGTCTCCATAATTTAGTTTTGGGAAACCTAGATCTTTTTAAATATTTTTGTTTTTTCCTGTATGTGCTTGTTTACTGGTCAAATGAAATGTTATGGTCACTGCAATGATAATTTCCCTTTTTTATATGAACACTTGTAATAAATTCTGCATTGTTTAAGAATAGCAAGTGCGGCAAAATATAATTTCTTGTAAATAATTTTATATTCTGCCCTATAAAATTGTCCTATTATAAGTATTATACCTTTCCCCCCTTGTATTGTTCTAGTGAAGCTATTCTACCTTTTGTAATGGACATGTATGTCTAGGATGTCTTAATGCATGACACTGATGAATAGGCATATATAGCATTTATTACATATGCAAATCTTGTATTTTATTGTGCCATATTTTAAAGTGATTGTCACTTTAAAATAAAAAGGCAAACATGCAAATGGTGTGAGAGGCACCTTTTATTGCCCCCTATTTGCCTTTTTCAGTAAAGTAGAGGAGGGCTAGAACAGCTTTACTGTCTATGCTCCGTTACATATTTTCCCTACGCTGAATCCATTGTCGCTGTAACAGTATGTAAGGGGGAGTTTCCCAAACAGAGCCCCGAATTGCGGCAAAAACCTGACGGTTTTAACTCTTCCCCACTCTACCAAAAATGTTTTTAAAAAGTTTGGCTAGGCAACCATTTTTATTAAATCCAAATAAAATAATTATTAGCAATAATCATCATCATGTAATAAACACAAATACATTATTTTTATAATTAATAATAATTTACATTTTATACTTTAAAATATATTGAAATTATTATTATTGTGTTAAATCAATGAACTGTGTTTCAGTGAGGCCCGGTTCACACCTGGGCGTTTTGTAGCGCATTCGAACGCTCTGCAAAACGCTCAAACACCAAAATCCCATTATTTCCTATGGGTATGGTTCACACCTGGGCGTATTACAGGCCGTATGAACGCGCTACAAAACGCCCATTGGGATACAGCCAAGTAGCCCCTGTGAATCGCGGTAAAAATGCGCGTCACGAAACGCGCATATTCGATACGCCTAGGTGTGAACCCAGCCTAAGGGTATATGTCACTTTTAGTAAAAGTCAGATCTTGAACATATCATGACTGCTCGGTTTAGATCTATCGTTCATCATCCATGGTTTATTTAGGTACTTTATTTGTTTCATTTTATGCGACATTTAGTCCCACTGTATGTTGGTCTGACATTCTGATCACCATATGTTCCTGGTGCATACATTTTACTGGCCGATGACCTCTAAATGGAAGTATCATTGCTGGTCTTATGGCAGCTCCACCCTATTGTGAGTCCTTTTAGCGGTCTCGTAAGATGGCCAGGAAAAATGAGATATTGATGGGCTGATTGATTGGTAAAGGGAGCAGCTGTAAATGCAAGCTCTGCTTATCTTGAAGTCCTTCCCCCTCCTATGTAAAATTGCTGACAAATCATTAAAAGCATAAACATCAGAAGAGATACCCTACACCTGACGTCCCGTAGGTTCTCCTAGGTTAGGGTGACATCACGTGGCATCTTGGTGCAGCTAATAATCCTAAATCCCAATGGAATGGGAGTAGCTTCTCAGTTGTGGAGCAGCTTCTCACAAGATTTGGGATCTTCATCTTTCCCAGGATCCTACGCTGAGGCTCAGCAATGTTGGCGGCTGAAGCCCATACAGTAAGGCATTTATGTTTACATATTCTTCCGCTGTGGTTTTTTTAGTTGTGTTTTTTTTTTTCTTTTTGAGAATTTCAAGAACAAAAAGCTAATTGCATTTCATGCACAACTGAGCCAATGCCTAATATATTTCAATCTCTTTCAGGTTCACATAGAAATTCATTGATGCATACAGCTGCTTTGGAAGTGAATTCGTCTCCATTGGATGTTGTAATACACTAGCAATGGATGGGCTGTGTATCATTGGTACATCATGTAGCAAAAAAGATTCAAGTGGTGCTCGCTTACAACAGAAAGTTTTCACAAGGCAAGATGTGAATCATGAAGTTCTGGGAATGTCTTTGACAAAATGCAGTCCATTTGAATGTCATTTTACTCGTTCACATAAAGAGATGGCACCTTTGACATTCACAAGATCTGTTTTAATCAGAAGCGTTCACCCCTTGGCCAGTAGTAGCAGGGGTCATTCTTTACCAACAAACACCATTTTAGTCAATTTTCAAGATGGGTTAAAAGACGTTAACTTAATATTTTTCCTTCCATGGACTGGACTTGGTGTTACAAGTTTATCGTACCTACCCGTAGATTCATGTTGACTGATGGCAACTTGGTGCATGTATTTAATTTTTATATATGCTTACTACATTTTAAAAGCTGTTGAAGGACTTAAACATGGGCATTTCACTTCTCACCTTCAATTTCTGCCCAAAAGCTCACAGAAAATGTAATGAATGCATTCTGTATTTCTGGACTCGTCACAGGACCGTTGGAAAAATAATAGGATAATAACTTGAGTGCCAGTCCAATTTTTATTTTTTAATTTTAACTGTTTGTTTTTGTGTTTTTGCTGGTGAATGTGAAGCATGTCATAAAATAGCAACTATTTTGGGGTTGATTGCATTAAGGAAGTAGAAGTGTTCCCCACATGAAACAATTGAATTCAAGCTGCTATCTCTGTAAAGATGTTGAAAAAACATATTTTTTTTTCTGGTTGCTGTTGGCTGTTTCTAGAGTAGGAAAAATAATCCTGTAATTATAAAAAATGTACATGTGAGCACAGTATATGTTAGTAAAGTAGCACCCACATTGCATAGTAGCCACCCCCAGGTCCCTTTTCAGCTGCACTGATTTTGTTTCTAGAGCATACTGGAACACCAAAAACTGAGACCATAACTGGTGACCAGATACTGTAGTCATGTGCTCTGGCCTTCCCTTTCAGATCTCCCATTTTGTACTAATGGCCCAAGACTGCCAATGAAGCCATGATAGGGAGTTGGCTAGAGCCCAGAACCACATCAGCTAAATGCTTTCAGTGTAAATGGGTGTTTTGGGGCTTCTGGGGTATTGTATTAGGCAGAACAGATGTGCAAGAGCTGGAGGTGCCTGCTTTCTAATATAAAGTATATTGTGCCCACAGGTTTGCTTCAAAGTAACCTTTTCTTCCTAATTACCTATATAAATAGGCTGTGCACTTACTCTTAGGTGCCTGCATACAATTGTTCCAAGGTCAGCCACCCCCCCAGAATCCCTGAAACCAGGGGTGCTCTGATAAGCAAAAATGTACTTTCTCCAAAAAAAACTAAATGGTGGGCCCACAACCTCCAACCCTCCCTTCCCATCTCCTGCTGGTGCTTTAAAGTTATGTCAAGCCTCATTCTTCAATAGGAAGGCTGAATTGGGCCAAGGTCAGACATTGAGAATCAGAATCCCGAGAGTTTTTTGGGTCAGAGGGCTCTCATGAAGAGTATAAGCAACAGGTATACGCAGGTTCCTGCATTGCATCCAAGTAGACCCTTTAGCTATTTTTCTTTGTAGAGGAAAGGGTTAGTTTAAAGATCTCATGTAAATGAGGAAAAGTTGCCCTCTAATGTGCTTAATGTAAATCCGAATTCTTGCATGTAATATTTTACTTTGCTGATCGTTTGTCGTGTGCAGAATGTTTAGGTCATGGACTGAAGATCTGAGATTTGTGGATCACAGTCCACTAGGGCAGCCAGTTTATTTTTGCACTCTGTCCACCGCTGGTTTTGAAATAAACCAGTTCAGAGATGCTGTAACTGTGCTGCTGTTGGTGAGGCAACCCTCTGCACAGTTACCTTGTTCTCAGGTGAAAGCCAAGATGACACTTCCTCTCACTTGGTGGTTTTATTGTGAAATCTGATTACTTACTTTGTTTTAGGATACATGAAATCTAATGAGTCATCTCAGTGCTACAGGATCTCACACTATTGGTTGATTAAAACCACCTAAGGAAAACGGTTAGTAGACCTGAATTAAAAGCCCGATTGCTTATTTAAAGTAGACCTTCACTTGGATGTTAGCTATGTTTAACAGTCTTACTGAGCTCATTCAATAATAACAGGAGCATGGGAGAAAAGGTGCACCAGGGTTCCTCCAGGGAGGATCATTTGGTCACATGATTTCTGCTGAAGGGGAGAATCAGCATTCAGATTGGATGATCCTCTCCAACAGGTAACATGATCAGATGATTAGGTCTTTAAGCACATGATTGACACAGGAGGAACTTTTTTTTTCCTCTCTCCCTCTCCCCTTCATTTGTTTATCCACCCAGCAAGAATGTTAATATAGCTTTAAAAGCCTGTCATGTGAGAAATATAGGAGCTGCCATTAAAGGAGAACTATAGGGTCAGTGTTTTTCCCCATAGTTGTCCTTAGGGTAACGGGAGGACACAAACTAGCGTCCTCCCGTTACCCTAAGCTCAGTATACCGCGAGCTACAGCTCGCGGTATACTGAGACGCCGGAGCGGATCACGATTTAGATGACGGGATCCGCCCAGCTGCGTGACTGACAGCTGGCTCTGCCTATCTAGAGGGAGAGCCAGCTGTACCCTCCCCCATCCGTTCCGCCAGTCAGCGCTGGCAGATCGGAGCGAGGAGAGGGGAATCCAGCCCCTCCCCCTGTCACGGCAGAAAGCTGTGACCGGATCGAGAGGCGAGCGAACGCCGGTATGTGTTCTCTCACCTCCCGATCTACTGAGCCGACCTGTGACAGTCTCATTGTCACAGGTCGGCTAGAACTATGAGGTGAATGAAAAGCACTCACCTCATAGTTCTCCTTTAATGATTCACTAGTTGTATGGCTGTTATGCTGATTACTGGCTCCAATATTTTTTTATTTTTTTATGAATTACCCCGATTTGTAGGGATAAACCTACTAAAAATAAAGGCTCTTACTGAATTTACAACATAAAATGCAAGATCTTGCTGGCAGGTCAACTGCTGTATGCATGTAACATTTACACCCAATACAGCATTAAAGCAACCTGGTTGCTAGGATGTAGACAACAACCACTGGTGTCCTAGTAACAGAAAGATGGTAAGCGGCAATAGCCACCTGCACCCTGATCACACAGGACACCAGGTGGTATTAGCTGTAGTAATATGCTGGACTGTATACAGAGATTTTTCAGACCTGAACATGGTGCAAGTTTACGAATGTTGCAGCTGTGTGCATGGGGCCATAGCAAACCATACACCTGTGTTCAGATTCCTAACAGAAGGAAAGAGAAAATTTGTTTGGCATCCATGTGCATGAGTCCTGAGCTAAAATCTTGAACTCGTAGCTGTCCTGTGTTTAGCAGCTAAGGGGTTGTAAATTACAACCACCATCTGTGAGGGGAGTATAAATTGTAGGGACAGCTTGCATTTATAACATTTAAAGTGCTCCCCAAGCTTGAATCGAAACTGTACTGAGAACAAAATATACAACATTTTGCTGAACCTTTGTTGCAGACACTTTGCTTTCTTCTAGTGAAGCCTACCCCTCTCAAAGTATTCAGATCACAAAAGTCTAAATCCTTGTCTGTCTACTGCAGTAGCTCAAAGTACTACATTTAGGAGATCAGCATGACGGCTAAGCAACTAGCATTTTTAAAAGGGCAGCTTCCATGTGTTACCATGGCAGGTTCCCTTTAAATCAACAGTGTTCCTATTTCAAAAAGAAAGAAATGAAACAGTGGATGCTTGCCTAATCCTGCTCATGCCACCAAACTCCACTTTGTTGCAGGTCTAAACTTGATGAAATATATTTAGCATCAATAACACATCTGGGTGCACCAGATGCCTGGCCCTTTCTCTGGTTCCTTCCACCGTCCCCTACATCATTACCGGAGGTGCTGGTGTTGGAAACCACAGGGCACAGTGGGTGGGCACCAGCATCAACACTGCCAGAATTGACCAATTCTAAACCTTCTGCAGCAAACTGGGATCTTCCAAGAAGCGGAGTTAGGAGGCAGCAGGACGATCTTTGCAAGGATGGCTTAATTTATTTTAATAGTAACAGTTGCTTTTTAAATCTAGCTCCTTATTTTTTTATGTTCACATAGGAGGGGAGGCATTTGTGGCCTGTGAATGGTAGCGTAATCCAAGGATGTGCCTTTTTTTCTATCCGGGGGAGAGGTAGCTTTAATAGCCAAAGTGCCTGACTTGCCACGCTCCCTGCTACAGCAGTGGACAGCTGAAGCCAGAGGCGTAACAATCGCCATCGCAGCCCATGTGGCTGCTATGGGGCTTGGGGGTGGAAGGGGGCCCCATGAAGGATTGCTGAAGTTGCTGTTGACACTCTACTCCTTATGGCATTTCCAATCAAGAAGAGTTGCTATCAGATGTACAGGAAGAGACTATGCAGACAGGTGTCCTGCTACCTGTCAATTGATTTAGATTTTAAAGGGTTTGCCATGGGGCCCCATGATCCATAGTTACACCCCTGGCTGAAGCAATTCTTTATTTTCAGAATTGAAAATGTCTCGCCCTGATTTAGATCTAATCCGCATCATAGGATGGAAAACGATGACCTCTGTTCCCACATTCTTCCCAATGAAGGTTTCTGAGAGGGGTAACTCTTATTCAGGGTTGAACATTTTTAAATCTTCTGAATGCTCTGGCGGGTATCTAGTCACTTCTGCAATAGATGGTTGCCAGTGGCGCACTGTTTGAATATTGTTATTAATGTAATTAAGAAAGGACGTTTACACCATTGAATAAATTGTACTTTCTTAATGTATGAACATTTAGATTTTTCTTTTATTATAAATATCTGTGAGCCGTTTGAATGTTTTTTTTTAACCCTGAAGTGAAAAAGGATAAAGTGCTGCAGCCCATTGCACTGATTATTTGCTGCGTGCTTTTTCTCCCAGGCTTGTGCTTGCTCTGCACTTCTATTAAAATGCTGTCTTCCCAAGTTCCTTTATTCAGGTGGCTCCATTCCCTTACAGCAGGGGTACCCACAATTTTTGTCTTGAGATCTACTTTTCAGATGATGAGATCTACCAACAAAAAAAACCTTTATTAAAAAAAAAAACAAGCACATAAAATCATTACTGGGACTACTGCCTCTCTTTCTCTCCTGGCTGTTTACCTTACCTCTACTGCAGCAGCAGCAGCTTCCCAGGTCTCATGTGCGCAGCCCTGTCCTCCCGCAGTGCTCGTGTGGCTGACGCTACAGACTGGCAGGGGCATCCCACCCAGCACTGGTGATAGTGTGGCCAACACTGCAGACGGGGAGAATCCCATCTGCTGCGTCTGACACATTCAGCCACACTGGGGAGGGAGCTCTGGTCAGTGAGCTGATCGTGATCTACCCGTGTTTGCTTTGCGATCGACTGGTAGATCGCGATTGACCTAATGGGCACCCCTGCATGTGCACATTAACACAGCTTTCCCAAAAGACTAACATGACAACTCATGCTGGTGAAATGAAAACCGAGAAAAGGAGCGCCACAACCTAGCACAGTGAAAAAGAAAGGTGGGCACATGAAAAGGGAGGAACAGGTAAATTGTTGCACTTGTGTGCTCAGTCAAAAAATAATGAAGTGTCTGACGGACTGGATTCAAACAACTCAGAAACCTGAAACCTTTTAAGTCTACTGTAGGGACAGCCTGGTGGCTATAGCTCTGACAATGGGGAGGGAGAGAGAAGCAGTTGTGCAGGAGCAGCAATGGTGTGATATCCCTGCATAACAAAGGAAAATAAAAAGTAATGCACTACCCCAGGGTGGATGTATGAAGCAGCGCATTGGTGAGGTTTCCTTCAAATGGTGACAGTCCCTGTTGGTATGGGCTCAGCTTGCAGATGTGAAGTGTCAGAAGGGTCCGGGGTAGAGGAGGAGAGCAGCTCATTGTGAGGTCCCAGATGTTCACCAGGGATGGATCATTCCACATGTTGCCAGATTGGCAGTACCCTGAAGCAGTTGTCCAGGGCAGTCAGAACTGCTCCAGGGTACTACCAATTTCACGTTTGTACTTACAATCCGTCAGCGTGCCCCCTTGCATTAGTAACTATTTGGGGACAAGTTTAGGGAGGAGAGGGGGAAGAATCTGCACTGGGTTACATCTGGGTGGCAATAGATGCACTGACTTTGGAGAGACTCCAAGGCCAGGGCATCCTCTGTCAGCCATAAAGACTTAACCCAGTGCAGGTGCACGGTCTGCCATTTAGTGATCCCTGCAATAGGTCATTTCACAACAAGGCAAACCTTCAGTCAAGTAACTACAAATAACACGTATTCCCAAATTGCATGACACCATGGGGGCAGGAATAGGTACATTAGAACAGGGTGCTGCACAAATGTTTCACACCATCTATTCTGTTCTGCAAAGACACCATGGTAATTGGAATAAGGTGAGTAAGCATGTGGATATAAATGGGGTTTGTTCTGACACTCACTTGAACTGAGGAAGTCACTTAGATGAGTAGTGAAGCGCCTCCCTATAACAAAACAAGTCCGGTTCAACATGACTAATGAGTACTAGCGGAATAGCCTTATAGACCTTAAAGCTGAATGTGGGGCACCAAAAATGTAATTGGAATATATTCTGTAATAGCCACAAACAATATAAATCCACTTTGTATGCACCAAATGCCTTTTCAAACCATTACTAGTGACACCCTCACTTGGCTACCCAATATTTTGTGCAGAGAGCAGAATTGTGGGAGGGGCTCTGCAGGCCAACCCACTACAGGCTGCCTATAAAAGAAAACTACAGGAGTGGGCAGATACAAGACCAATCACCCTGTACAAGGAGAGAGCACAGCAGTGACTGGTCTTTATTACCGGAAGCTTATACAGAGGCAATGTTATACCCTAATTTATAGAGGTGCACCGAAATGGAAATTACAATACCGAAACCAAAAATGTTTATTTTAATTTTTTCTGGGTCTAAACAGACCCCTGATATTTCCCTTTTAAAATAGAAAAAGAGATTGCAAAGTCCTCAATCTCCTTTTCTGCAGCCTCAATGAACAGGAATCCTCTACGAGTGTTTGTTCATTGATAACTTGGGAACACGGTATGATTACTATAACCACAATTATGAATGAACAGGAGGGGATGAAAATCACTTTCCCATTCATAATTGAGGATATAGTCAACATGCTCTGTCCTCAATTATGTAAAAACACTCAGCGATTACTGAGCCTCCTCTCCGTCCTGACACGCAGTCACAGGAGGCTGAGCGAGCGGAGCAGAGCTCAGCCTACTGTGACAGCGTAGGCTGTCTGCGCCCACACACGGCTCTGCCAGACTGTGATAGGAGGAGAGACGCCGGCCGCTCACTGCGCTCTCCTCCTGCAGCACTCTGCCAGCAGGGATGCGCTGCTGTATCTGCAGGAAAAAAGCACTTTCGGCATTTAGCCATAAGTGGCATTTTCCGCCTATATATTTCATGGGCCGATATATCCGTGCATCCCTCATTTTTTTTTTTTTGCCAGATTTGTGAACACAAAGCACACTAAACCTCAAGAATACACATGCATCTTGCATTTAGACAATATTTGCGTATCCCAGAGTTTAGCTTGAATAGATCAAGTATTAAAAACAGGAGGTAACTGTACAAATCTTATTTACCCAATAGTCTCCCAGGACAGCATCTCCTACTCCAGGACACAAAACTTAAGTGCCTCCAGGGCCCTGGTTAGTTGTAGTTCCTCTGGAGGAGATGCGTCATCAGGGAACAATGTTGGAAGGAGGTTTACACTTCATGTGCTGCCCATACTCTGCTTTTAAGATCCATCCTTTTCGCTGTCTTAAAAGGTCTGGGGAAGGCCAAGTGCTGCAGTCTGCAAAAGTAGTGGGTAGGCCCTGTACTAATTAAATTTACCCGATGCCAGCATGAACACCATGAGATTTAAGTAAGTCTCCAAAAGTCAGCACAGAATTACTTCCTTTAATCTACTGGAGCTTTTGTTTTCTTTCCGAACAGTTAAGGTCTTGCGATAGTAAGGAACTCCAGCCCTTCAGCTGTAGTAAAACTACAAATCCTATCATGCATCTGTCTCAGATGAATGATAGGATTTGTATCCCACCTACCAGATTCTTGGGAAGGGAAGTTTTTGGAACGTTATTTTCCTTGCTGCAAAGAATTAGTTCCAACAGATGTCAAGGCTCGTGAAGGAAACATTTTCTCCCTTTGATTGCCAGGATATATAGGACACGTCTTGTGGCAGTCGAAGGGTTGATCTTTACAGTTCTAGAGCCACCCAATCATTTCTAGGCCCAGAATGTGCTGCATACATCTGCGTCTCCTGGGAGCCCAGGACCTCCAAAAAACCATCAAGATGGCAAGTGGAGGAATAGGAGTAACATTTGTTCCCCAACCTCTCCAATCCAGTAAAACTAAAAGTACCCAGCCCTGAGCGATTTTGTGTTTATAGCCAACAGATATTGGCCTGGTAAAACTTTTATTCTGGTTGGGCTGAGTGCAGGGGAAAAAAACGAGTCTAAAAAGAAAGAATACCACTCACACAATGCTACCACAGATGCCCTCTAGTGATTGCAGCAATAATAATAATAAAAAAAAAACAAATTAAAGAATGCATTTTAATGGCTTACAGTGTCCCCACAACCCTAAAAGTAAACACACCTAGGAAGCACATCCATAAGTAAATGCTGATTGCTCAGCACATATTTGGTATTGCAGCACATGCCGGAGTGGATGAATATTTCTAGGGTAATCAGTTACAAAAAACACCTACACGAGTTCCAATTGGATTCATTGGACAAAATGTATCAACCCGGAAGCACATTCCACTTCAGTCTGGCTACTTCTTGGTATGAATGCACATGTTATTTTCTGCTCGTTTATTAAAGAACACATTTACAACATTTATATGAACTATTCTTAAGTAGAAATAAGTGACATTGATATATTTAGTACGGAGACTGAACCAGAATAGAACATCCTAGGACAGAAGCAAAGATTGTGAAGTGCAACGGATTCAGAACACAAGCTTAACTTCAGGTCAGCATTTCGTAAAATTGCACATCTACTGTTCATATAAGCAGAAGCTTGACTATTAACTCCCCTTCCCGGGCGCATTATGTACATCATGGCTTCACTGTGTAACTTCGGCTGGAAGTGACCAAAAATAATCTGTTGAAAATCTAGTCCTCATCTGTACACAAATAGCAAAATCAACAGATTCCAGTGTGCTATTTATTACTTGATCCGGAAAAGCACTTTACGCTGAAGACGATGCTGAATTTCCCCTCTTCGCATCATCAGATACAAAACTTTGTGAATTGCATGTTCAGGATATTTCTGCAAATATGAAATAGAAACATTTGACAGATGCAAACAAAAAAAAAACAAAAGCATTTATGTTTAGCCTGCCAACATATTTCCATAGCTGGATAGTGCCATTGAAGAACATATTGTAGTTCAGCCTGTTTTACCACCATCTATACTTTGTACATACACACGGATGTTTTGTTCACTGCCAGTCTAAGCTTTGAACATACACACTGATGTCTGCACTTACACCTGCATTCCCAGAACAGATTCTCTATACTCCCCATACTAATTTTAGCAGCTGCAGCCCAAATGCAGATTTGCGCACACCCCCTATAGGAAGCTCAAGCATGACCTGCTCCTGTCCAGGTGTACCCAGACATCGGTTAAATAATCCTACCCGTTTGTAACCCTCTTCCACAGGGGTAGGCAACCTTAGCATTTCAGCTGTAGTGAAACCACAGATCCAATCATGCCTCTTGCAATGCCTCATGGGACTTGTAGTTCAACAGCTGGAGTGCCAAGGTAGCCTAATCTGTTTTCACACCATCTCTCAGCAAATTACCAATGTATGGGAATAAGCAGGGTGGGTGAAAGGTACAAACCTGTCTTATTTTCCAGTAGGGGTTATGAACTAGTCTTGAGAAAGTTTGGCATTTACACCAACATTAATGTTACTGCAATCTTGAAATTGGTTACCCTAAATCAGATTTTACACTGCTGTATCATGTTGGGCAGTAGATTGCGTGGAGGATCATAGGAAAAAATATTTGCTATTCTCCTCAGCTCCATCTAGTAACCTGAATGCAGTATTTTACTGACATTAAATTCAACCTAGAAAGAAAATACTAACATTTGTTTTTGCCCCAGTAGCACAGATCAAGTGGCTTTGTGAATGTTTTATAAATACACCCCTATGTGTCCTGCAATAAATGCTTCTTGCCTGTCTGCTCACAAAACTTATTTAGATACACTGCACTGCCCAGCCACATGCCTCAGTGCCATGATTAAAAGTGCAAGTTTGGGAATTAGTTATCCTGTAATCTTGACTGGTTGATTTGAGAGACACCAAACCAAGAAGACAACCAAGTGAAGATGTCAGCACTGGTGATGAAGCCCACAGACACTAGAGCTGAAGTACTGCAGACCTTAGTGCCACTTTAAACCCCAAGCTCAGTTGCCAATATCAGGTACAGTACAAGTGAAAATTCTACACTAGGAACCTACAATCTTCAGTTTCATTGCTGCCATTTCAAGATAATGCAACTTTGAAGCATGCAATGATTTGTCCAAGCGTAACAGTTGCCTATTATATTGGCTGCAATTTTAAATTAACAGGGTCCTCACCTGTTTCACAAAATCCTGGATAATACTGTGCTCAGACACCTGGGATCCAATGGCAAATCTTCTCTTCATTTGCTTCTCAATGCGGGACAGCATTTCTTGGTCCTCCTGAGTGGTGAATCCTTCCACACCTTCAAATAAAAAGTATGTTATAGCACATGGCAGGCAAGCAACAGCACGTTGTCTGGCACATTGATTTTTTTTTCTCCCTTACCAGACAGGCTTCCAGACATGGCAGCATCCAGTGTAGAGACCTGGAATAACCGCAGTGACTCATCAACATCACTTTCTGCTGAGAAGGGCTGTAGCTTCATTTTACTAAGTGCTTCTGAAATCCGAACAATGGCTTCCAATTGTCTGCAAGAAGTCAACATTTACAAATATAGCTGTATGGGCACACTCCACAGTGAGAGCAACGTTAGAAGAGCATCCATTATGTATGGTCAAAATACTCCCTTCTAAAATACTTCAGATACCATAACTTATTAAATTGACTTTTGCTGCAAAGCAATCTTGCATTTTTTTGCACAAATGTTAAATGCACATTTTAGGCCTGAAGACTACTCAAACCCACAAAAACTCTATTTCTAAAAGCAGAGACCTCGTAGAATAAAATGGCGTCAGTTGCAATTTTATATGTTGCATGATATTAGTGCATGGGCTGGAGACACAAAACAAATTAAGGGCGTTTCTACGTTTTATTAAACTGGATTTTTTCTTTTTAACTTTATTGCCATCACATTTGCAGGCTCACAAGTTTGGGGGTGCACATTTCACAGCCCGAGCCACCCAAATGCATTCCAGTGTAAAGCAGTCGGCTTCAGACTCCCGGCTGCTGCTACAGTCTGCTTACATTGGTATAAGTTGGCGATAGGGAAAAGGATAAAGCAAGCTATATACTGTGAAATAGTGTTGTATAATGCCATGAGATTTAGAACGTGCGAATACCCCAGTAAAATGGATATTCCATCTAACACGTATCAACAACCGGCAAGATCTCATACTGGCCTACTAACGGGAGCAGTATGTAACCTGGCTGTCAAATGGAAATGCCAAATTTGAGACACAGCCACTAGTGAACTGTGAGGTTACTTAGGAAGTAATGTGTTGATACAGAAAAACCTAATTCCATGGTCTTGTAGCAACACCTAAACTCCACCAAAAGGTGATGATTTTAAAGCCAGAAATTGTGGTTTTGCAAGATGACCCCCCACGAGTCACAAACCCGTATTTACATTTTCCTGGAAATAGATTTGACCAGCTGCCAGTTGTGCAGAAACTGAAGCATGCATGGTTACATACAGCAAGAAACAAAAGACGTAACTTCAGATGTTAGAATAAGTAAAAACCCTTGTGGGTAACAAGCAATACTCCATCCTAGATGTCAGCTAAGTAGCACAATATTACACCAATAAGTACACTGTTCTTAAAGTGCACTACCAGTTGTTTTTGTTTCTATGGTTCTAAGAGGACAGTACGTTTTTCTTTTACCAGCCAAGTTGATTTACCCTGGACAGACAAAAAAAGAAAGCCTCATCTCTCCTTGCCAAAGACGCCTAGATTGGGTGATTACTGCTTTGTGGGTACAATATTGGTACCCTGCAATAAGAATGCCCCAGACACCAGAAACCCAAAATGATCCTTGTCATTACCTGACTGTAATAGGGATGCTGGATCTCTTCTCGCTTTCCCGATCATGTTCACGAGCGCCACTGCGCATCAGTACATATCGATTCTTTAACTTCTCAGCCGATTCAACTGACAGTCGAGGTCCACATTTACTGAAAGATAAGGCGTGTTTTATCATTTATTTTTTCAAACATTCTGCAATTGTAACCTGCCAGCTTTTCTTTTATGAGGACTTGAACAGCAACAGATCACAATGGAATGTAACCAACTGTTCATTAACCAGCTTTTAATACACAGAATTGTGTATTAAAATCAATACACAATACAGTCAAGACTATTTAACATGGAGAGTAGATGACACTATCCACCAGACCAGTGTACATTCCATGATGGTGAAGCTTAATCACATAACTGGTTATATAACTGTTCTCTCCTCACTGCATCCTCACTTAGTATTAGGGCCCTGTCACGCCAGTCCAGTGCGATCTGCAAAAAATGCTCCAGTATTACTGGTCTCTCCTCACTGCATCCTCACTTAGTATTAGGGCCCTTTCACACCATGTCCGGATCAGATGCGGTACGTTGCATTTTTCCAATCCAATGCATTTGTATGTGATTTTTGGGCTCTGTTCACACACACCAGTCCAGTCCGTTACAGTGCAAGAAAAAGAAAAAATGCTGCATGTCACATTTCTCCTGCACTGGAACACAACAGACACTATGACATGGAGAACAAAGATTAAATTTGCATGTCATTGCCGCCCCCCCCAAAAAAACCTGCCCTGGAACGCGTCACAAACGCACCTCGTTTGCAGAAACACGTGCAGACCTGGTCCGCACATGGTGTGACAGGGCCCTTACTGGTCTCTCCTCATTGCATCCTCACTTATTACTAAGGTGCCAGTGTGATCTTTTTTTTTTTTTAATAACAGAATGGAGGGAGCAGGGTCATTCTACTGCTTTATAAATGGGCCCCTTAGTACAAAGTACAAGCAAGCTCAAGACTGATACTCACGTTCTGCAATAAGCAATATATTTCTTCAATGTATTCAAATCCACCTCTCCATCGACAGCCTGCGTCTGTGTTCGTGCACTGAGATGGACATTCATCACGTGCTTGGCCAAAGTCTGTGGAGGGAGAGAAAAAAAAAAAAAATCCTTAAAATAGAAAATGATCATGAACAAAAAGATCAATAAGTGACCAGTGATCTAGGACTTTATATTTAAATTTGCTCATCTATAAAGTGCTGGCACCTTGAGATCTCAGGCTATTGTAATCCAGCACTGCTATGATGCTTCCAGAAATGACAAACCTTTTCCATTTCCATCCCACCACACGTCTATTACCCCTTCCACGTGTTTCCAAAGAAGACAAACAAAAGCTACTAAACAGTATAAAGTGACTTTTCGGGGTTTGCAAGGTGGATGCCCCTTTAATGCTAGGTGCAGGTATCAAGGTTTTGATAATGTTTCAACCTATAAAATTATACCAGCGCCTACAATGAAAATAGTTAGACAAATGACTCAAACATTTAGTAGTAAAAAAAAAAAAGTTATATTTCTGTGGTTACAATTCAGAAGGGGTTTTCTCCATAACCTACTTGAATGTAAATACTGAAGGGTTGATCGTAACTAGATGCATGTAGGCAACCTGAAGTAAGATCAGATACTTCATGGCAAGACAACCAAATCTAGCCTTTAGCAGGTTCCCGTCAGCTGTTACTACCTGCATTCAGGTCTACATGTATCTGCTGAAGTTAAATGCTCAGAATAGTAATCTTAAAATAAAAATACACTGGCAGCTCATCTTACCATATCCCTCTGTTCATTATGTTCATCCTTCACTATGAAGATCATATCGAACCTGGAGAGAATGGTAGGCATGAAGTCAATGTTCTCTTGACCCTTTGTGTCATCCCACCGGCCATACACAGAGTTGGCAGCAGCAAGTACTGAACAGCGAGAGTTCAAAGTGGTGGTAATGCCAGCTTTTGCTATGGAAATGGTCTGCTGCTCCATGGCTTCATGGATGGCAACCCTATCATCCTCCCGCATCTGAAAAGATAAAACAGCAAATCAGACATTTGACAACATTAAGAGCTACAAGCGTTGTGTGGAATATTGTTTCCAAGTACTTCTGTCTAAAATGAAAGCCATAAAATAAACATAATTCAAGAATTTCAGTAGGATTAGCTAGATATTAGAATTGGACAGGTTAACAATACTGCTTAAAAGGTGAAGTATGGGGTCAGGGCTTTCCCCCATAGTTCCCCTAAGGGTAATGGGAGGACACAAACTAGCGTCCTCCCGTCACCCTAAGCTCAGTATACCACGAGCTACCGAGACACCGAGGTATACCGAGACCCCGCAGCAAGGACGGATCCCAACATTACTGTCGAGATCCACCCAGCTGCGGTATTGACAGCTGGCTCTGCCTATCCAGAGGCAGAGCCAGCTGTACCCGCGCCCTCCCCGTCCGTTCCACTAGTCAGAGCTGGAGGATCGGACAGGAGAGGAATCCCTGCAGGGAGCCGTGAGTGACAGTCACTGCTCTCTGCAGGGATAGATTGAGAAGGGAGCGAGAGACGCTATGTGTTCGCTCACTTCCAGATCTATTGAGCCGACCTGTGACAGTTTCATTGTCACACGTCGGCTAAAACTATGAGGCTGAGTGATTTTCACTCGCCTCATAGTTCACCTTTAAGTGAACTTAAAGGGTAAAGAATTTCTGTTTTATAAGGATCTAAAGAACATCTAACCTCCCCAAACAAGTACATTTTGTCATGAACTCCTGCTGATAAAGTAGCAGTAACTTCCTGATATGATGGCGCCTACCACCTCATAGTATATCTACACTGAGATCTTGGGCACTGCTGCGTCTCGCTGCTAGTCTCATCATTTTGGCAATTGTGTTGCTCTCAGTTCTTTGCTAGAGGCGCTGAGCTGAGGGGGAAAAAAAAAATCCACCTCTACCATGATGGGTGCCTCCACACAGAGCAGAACAAGGCATAGAATGTCTACAATAAAGGAAGATTAGCTGCAGGAAGACAAACAATGGCAACAAGCCCTTTGTCTGTCCTTTTTATAGCCAGAGCTTATAGGAGTTCAGTTCCTGTGCTTTGTCAATGCAGATCAAAGCAACCGTTTACTTACAGATCCCACCTAAGCCACTTAGGTGAGATATTGCCCTGTATGAAAAAAACCATAGGATCACCAAGTACAGATACCTTGAGCTACCTGCAAGTGCCTGCACCAGTTTTCATAGCAATCACTGTCTACTATTGGAGCCCCGGTATGCAGGCCCATGTTGTATGCTGGGCCTCAATTTTTGGCCGAGTCAAATTCCCCTCCATGTGTATAATAAAACCTAAAAAATGCCTCAAATGTCTATCATAAAACCTCAAAAACTGCACCAATTTAAACACACACACACACACACACACCACACACACACACCACACACACACACCACACCACACACACACCACACACACACACCACACACCACACACACACCACACACACACCACACACACCACACACACACCACACACACCACACACACACCACACAC